GGAAGCTCGACCGAAACATTGGATTTGGCAAGAAGCTCCCCCTTTAAAACGAGGAGGATGGAGAGGAGGAGCGGGGAAGCCCTTTAAAACAGGCGGAGTAGACACCACGGGATCTAGCCCAGGTTTTGATGAAGCGGTGGGCTAGGCGGAAAGATTCTATATCAGGGAGGGAACGGCGGAGGTAATCAATGTCGCGGATGGCTTTGAGCTTGTTGAGGGTCTGCGGGGCGAGGGACCAGACGGGATCTTTGGCTGGGAGCCGGAGGACGTTGGGCCACTGTTGAGCAACGGAGGCGGCCGGGCAGTATTGGAGGTCCATTCTGACGCCTTGGACTTCGAGCTCGAGCATGGTGCCTGTGTTGGCTTTGACTCGGCGGAGATTGCGGACACCCTGGGTGGCGGCTTTGCGGAGGGATGAGGAGGCAACGGAGAACAATGTGTTGGAGCTGAAGGGGCCGATGCAGCAGACGTCGATGTCGGATGACGTTGTCCATACTCCGAGAGCGTATGATCCCACGGGAACGACGACTACAAAAGATTGGAGTCTGGCGGCAGCGGGGGTCTTAGTGGTGGCGTCGAGAAGGAGAGTTTTGAGCAGCTCAAAGGCCTCTCTTCTCTGGGCAGCTTCCTCCTCGCCGGGGGTGACATTCAGCTCGGAGAGACAAGCCTTGATACCGCCAGCCCCCGAGAGTGCCTTTGGCGCCTTCTCAAGATGAGCAGGCACAACAAGCGGGTTTTCTGGCTCCTGTTCCTGTTCCATTTCCTCTTTCTCGTCATCTCCAAACCCTCCAATGCTGAGCACAGCCCGGATCCCCCAGTGGTCACTGGCGAAGGACTCCTCGACAGCATCTCCAACATGGCCCTTTTCCTGACCAAACATGTTGAACTCCTTCACATCGAGAAAATCCTCGCCGCGAACAAGAATCCGGTCATATCGCTGTGGCCAGATATTTCCACCACTCAAAGTCACCGCAACACCATTGACAGGCGGATCCCATGTTGCACCACCATCCTTGTCCTCAGCAGTAACCTCCCAGGCATCCACCAAGCCGGCGTCCTTGAAAATAGTGTCCAATCCTTTCCACTGCTCAACCGTAAGGTCCGAAACATTCTTCTTCTCCAGCGCCTCCTGAATGGCCTCTTTCGAAGTAGCAATATTCCAATCCCCAGCCAGCACCCAAGGACACCCCCCATAATTCTCCTCCAAATACCCAATCAACCTCTTGATATCCCCCTTCCTCGATGCCACCGCCCCATCAGTAAGTCCATGACTGAGATGAACCACTGCCAGCACAACCGGCTTGAACTCATCCCCCTGCCACTTTCCCACATGTCGAAACCTAGCCACCAAAGCACCCTTGTGCTTCCTCTGGAAAGAAACAGATTCCCAGTCAAAGGCGACCTTGCTCAAGACAACCATATTGAGAAAATTCGGCAGCGGCCCCATACCCGGCTGATCAGGCGGTCCGTGAGAGCAATACGGATACCGATCCGAGACTCTCTCGTCACTGAGCAGAAACGACAGGAACCCATCCGTGACCTCCTGCAAGACCAGCGCGTCCGCGTCGGCCTTGTCGTCGAGAATGTTGTTCACAAGGAGGGGATACCGGTCCTCTTTTTGTGGGTACTCAAACTCAGCGAGAACGTTATAACTCGCCACCGTCAACATCTTTCTCCCTTGCCCTTCGTCGCTGTCATCTCGATCATAGTCCCCCTCCTGAGCAACCCCCCAAATCCGCATCTCCTCATCCCCAGTACACCGTCCTCCCGCTCATCAGCTCATCTCTATACCCCTTCTCTTCCCCCGTCTCTCCCAAAAACCCCTGAATAAACCCCCTCGTCTCTTCCAAAACCGTCACCTTCCCATCATGCACCCCCCCCGCCCCCCAAAGTCTCATCCTCCCCTTTTTCCCTCCTCAAATTCACCATTT